GCCCCGCGGGTGCTTCCCTCCCGTGTGTCAGAAGCGTGGTGCAGCGCCAGCCCCACCGCCCCCAGGACACCCCCGTCCTTTTCCCCTCTGCTTTTCCATCAGTCCGAGCCAGCTGGCCAGCCCAGCTTCTTCGGGATGCCATGGACAGGAGCAGGGCTACCTACTTGGCCGAAGCGCTGGGAGGGAGCAGTGCTGATCCAGCCAGGCGAGAGACGTCTGGGTGAGGCTCTCCATGCTGGCCGTGGAGACCATGCCGTTGAAAGACTCGAAGAGGGGCCGGATGATGATACTGAACTGATGGGAGCAGAGGAGTTAAGGACCTGCCTTGCCAAGGCCATGGTCTCCCACCCGCCAGGTGTGGGCAGCACCCTCCTACAGGCAGCAGGACAAACCTCCCTGCCTGGCCATGGAGCAGACCTGCTGGGTGCCTTCCCCAGCGCAGCACCACACTGAGCCCCAGCCCGTACTGCTGGGGAGACAGGGACATGAGTGTCACCCCGGGCAGGCAGTGGGAGAGCTGCATAATCCCCGTCACGACTGGGGCTGCCAGAAATGGTTGTTTAGACACAAGACAACTCTTCCACAGTAGATCAAGGAGCCAGCTAATGCAGTGTCCTCTGAAGTGCCCAGGAGCAGGGCACAACACCCGTGTGTCCAGTGTGCTCCCCTGGTGCTCCCAGCCTGCAGGGACCACTGCTGGGGACTGGTGACTTTGTGCATGTAGTAATCCACAGCAGATGCCTCCACCGTGAGCATGTCCTGGAGCCCATGTTGGCTTTAGTATACCCAGTGTCCTGTGGAAGGAGCTCCACAGCGCTCCCAAACTCTGTCAGGAGCCACCTCTGCCTTGCGCAGGCTGCCTGCACGGGAGTGGACTGTGGGCAGCAAGGCCTGCCCATCACTCTGCCCCTTGGGATTTTGTAGACCTCACAGTCTCTACAGGCTTGACGGTCCCAGTGTGTCTAATCCTTCCCTGCTCACAGAGAAGCAGGCCCAGCCCTTTGACCACCCCTCCATCCTCTCCACCATGTGGAGCCCTGACTTGTGCCCACCAGGGTGGGTTTCCAGGGTGTGCCACGCAGCCACCAAGGCCAAGCTATCATATGCCCTGCTTTGTGTCTGGACTTTTCCTAATCTCTAGTTGACGGCTGCTGCCTCTCAGAGCCAGTTCCCATGTCACCAGGAGCTCTTCCCTGCATGAGCTCAGCTCGCTGGTGACTTTCCTTGTCCCAGAGGACTGACCATTTACTCCTACTCCGTTTGCTCCCTTGTAACAGGAGCTTCCTCCTAACCACAGCGTCTCGGCGTGTTCCCACCATGTGCCCTTGGCTGGGGAACAACTCCCCCTTGGTCCCCAGAGCCTCTCAAGCCAAAGGGACCCCACAGACCTGGGAGCAGTGGGTGAACCAGAGGACCTGGTGTTTGGTGGAGGGGTCAGAGCAAGCAGCAGGCACCGGCCCCAAAGGATACAATCCAGAACTTCCAGTTCTGCAGTGTGGAGGAGCGGACGTACTCGTCGAACATGCTACGCATCTGGTCGAAGCGCTGGCGTGTGATGGGCACCCCTGTGGCCGGCAGCTGCTCCTGGCACAGGCTGTGGGGCACAAGCAGCGCCGGTGGGTCCGTGTTCAGGAGGCTGGGAGCCGGGGGGGGCCGCCCCATGGGGAGAGGCTCTGGCAGGACCTCAGCTCTCAGCAGGGGTGGGCAGGCAGTGTCCCCCTCCCAGGACAGCTGTGGGGCATGGCCCCGTGCTCTGGTCCCACACAGAACACTGCCTCTTGAGCATCCCCCCCCAAAACAGGGTTTGAGGGGGGACAGAGGCAAATGCAGGTCCTGGGAGGTGCTCAGAAGACCTGCTGTGTCCTGCTGC